CCCCCCCCCCTCTCTCTCTCTCTCTCTCTCTCTCTCTCTCTCTCTCTCTCACTCACACACACACACTCACTCACTCATTCTCTCTCTCTGCTCTAAATTATATACTTAATGAGTTTCATATATGAAATGGATAGGCATACAACCTTTCGCCACAATATATCATTGGGATCTTCCTCAAGCCCTGGAAGATGAGTATGGTGGCTTTCTAAGTCCTCGTGTTGTGTAAGTAATCAAATTCTATGTACTCGTTGAGTGGACTTCAAAATCAAGATTACCCTAAACGCTTAAAATAGATTACTATTTATCTACTAATGAGATAAATTGAAATTTTGATACTGTCAAAAGTCTAAGCAAAATTAGGACTTTACTATCCGAGTTCATCAAGATCTCCACAAAAATTATTGATTGAAATTTAAATTTTGAAATAGACAGTCCACTTGTTGACATCATGTCAAACAACAAAACAATCTTAGTGTTTTTCGAATATATAAACCTATATCAAGTGTTAGTCACATCGTATATTTGAACAAGAGAATCATTAAAATTGATTCTAATTTTTTCTTTTCCCGGCAGGGATGATTTTAAAGATTTTGCAGAGGTTTGTTTCAAAGAATTTGGTGATAGGGTTAAGTATTGGTCGACCATGAATGAGCCATATATATTCATAGTAAATGGTTATGACTCGGGTGCAATGGCTCCTGGACGTTGTTCTTCTTGGATGAACAATGACTGTCCTGTCGGCAACTCCGCCACAGAGCCTTACATTGTTGCTCACATCATGCTCCTTTGCCATGCCCAAACAGTCAAATTATACAGGCAAAAGTACAAGGTATGTACAAAATTTATGTTTATAGGGCTTGTTTGATCCCCATTTTTCCAAAAAATATATTTTGTAATAGTGCTATGATGGAGCATGTACGATTAAAAAATAAAGAAAAGTTCTAAATTTACGTGTAATATTATTTTATGAAAACATATGTGACTCCGGGTAGGATAGTAATTATCCTATTGGCTTGTTGTAGTAGATGATTTGCAAGAAAGAAACGAAAGAAAAACGTCCAAAAACCAAAGAAAATACTCTGAAATCAACTCAATATTATTAATAATGCAAAATGACCAAAATTAACCCACAAGTCGGATTAAATGGCTGCAAAATACGAAATTATAGAAAAATTACAAAAAATAGCAAAATCCCAAAATTACACCAGAATAAAATATTAAGTAAAAGAAGTAAGTTGCCAAAATTTTGGCTCAATTCAAGTTTTCTAACATATGAAAAAAGGGAAACGAAATATTACTATAAATAGCAAAAAATAACTAAAAATTGAATTTTGGAAAGGAAAACAGCGGATTTTGGGCTCGAAATTGATGCCCACCAAGCATAGGTGGGTGGCCACGACGTGCGTGCCGAAGAGAGCTTTCCAGATTAGGGTTATAATAGCGATTCTAATAACCGTAGCCAAAGTTATGGTCAAATTACCAAAAACGTGTCAAATTCCCCAAATTAAGGAAATTATTGCGATTCACTTCCCATCTTTGTGCCGATCCACAATCTTATGGTATCTCAGCGCCATCATCATGTTATCTGACAAATCAGCATCACTCGACTCGAATCCTCCTGCATCAGTTGCCCCGGGTTGGAAAGAACTCGCACTCGAGTTCACAGTAGTTTCATCGGATTCCACAAAACAAGGGCTTAGGTGTTTCACATTAAAGATGTCAGAGGTCTTCAAATGGCTAGGGAGGCGCAACTTGTAAGCATTATCATTGATCTTCTGCAGCACTTCACAAGGTCCAATCTTCTGCTTATTTAGCTTATTGTACTCCCCAGCTGGAAAATGATCACGAGTTAATACTGCCCAAACAACACCTGGCGTTGATGACTATCTGCTTGAGCCTTGTACTTAGTATTATTATCCTGTATGGACAGCTTCACCTGCTCATAGATACCCCGAAGATGCTCAGCCATCTCAGCTTGTTATTGAAGCGACCCACACGTGGAATTGAAGTCAAATCAGGTACCCCGGATGGGTTCCGACCATAGACAATTTCGAAAGGACTCAATCCGATGGTTCTATTCCTCGACCGATTATAAGCAAACTTTGCTTGAGGTAATGCCAAATCACATTGCTTCGGTTTATTCCCTACCAAGCTTCTCAAAAGATTTCCCAAACTTCGATTCACCACCTCGATCTGACCATCTGTTTGGGGATGGTATGCACTGTTAAAATTCAACTTCGTTCCAAGTTTCTTCCATAAACTCCTCCAGAAATGACTCATAAACTTAGTGTCACGGTCAAAAGTAATTGACCGTGGAACACCATGTAAATGCACAATCTCTCTAAAATAAAGATGAGCAATCCGATTAGCATCTATTGTCTGCTGGCAAGCCACAAAATGAGTCATCTTTGAAAATTTATCAATCGCAACAAGAATGGAATCCATCGTCCTCTGTGTACGAGGTAAGCCTAAGACAAAATCTATGCTGACATCAAACTAAGGAGCTTCAGGTACGGGTAACGGCGTGTACAATTCAGCATTAGTAAGAGCTCCTTTAGACTGCTGACATACATAACACCGCTCCACATAATGCGCCACATCACTACTCAACTTGGGCCAGTAGTAATCAGAAGAGACCAATGCCAATGTCTTGTCTCGCCCAAAAATGTCTTTCGTTATGAAGTTCACTAATTATTTGCTGCCTTAGTGAACAATCCGGAATGCATAACTGCAATCCACGAAACAAGTAACCATTATGTAAAACAAAATCTTGTCGGTGATTATCACTTACCTCCCAAATTATCTTCCCAAATGAAGGATCTGCAACATACATATCAAGAAATGCCTCGAATCTGACAATCTTGGTGCTCATGGTGGTGAGGAGTAATGTACGATGGCTTAATGGATTTGCTACTCTATTCAAATTCCCTGCTTGATGCCTTGTAAACTTCTGCAAGTACGCCACCCACTTTGCATGTCGCCTGCTCAGCTTGTGCTGACTATTGATGTACTTTAAGGCCTCATGATCAGTAACAATGATGAACTCCCTCTGTACTAGGTAATGACGCCAATGCTTCAAAGTCTGAACTATGACATAGAACTCCAGGTCATAAGTGGAATAATTTTTCTTCGATCCCGACAGCTTCTCACTGAAAAGGGCTACTGGACGCCCTCCTGACTCAGAACACCACCAATACCAACTCCAGACGCATCACAATTTACCTCGAACACCTTCTCAAAGTCCGAAAGTGCTAAGACTGGGGCCTCCGTCATCTTCTGCTTAACCAACTGAAAGCTAGCCTCCGCCTCCTCGGTCCATTGAAAATCACGCCCTTTAAGGCACTCTGTGATAGGAGCAATCAAGGTACTGAAGTTTCTGATGAACCGACGACAAAAGAATGCCAATCCATGGAAACTCCTGACATTGTGTAAAGTTTTTGGCTTGGGCCAATTCAAAACTGCCTCAATTTTTGATTGATCTGCATGAACACCATCAGTAGACACAACAAAACCCAAAAAAGTTACAGAAATTGTGAAGAAAGAACATTTATTCTGATTGATGAATAAGCGCTTCATCCTCATTACATCAAAGACAGCACGAAGATGATTAAAATGTGACTCCCATGTTGGACTATAAATAAGATTGTCGTCAAAATAGACTACCACAAACTTTCCCATGAAAGGCCGTAAAACCTGATACATAAACCTCATAAAAGTGCTGGGTATGTTGGATAGTCCAAAGGGCATGACCATTCACTCGTACAATCCATGCTGAGTCTTGAACGCGGTCGTCCACTTCTCTCTAGGCCTGATTCTGATTTGGTGGTATCTGCTTTTAAGGTCAATTTTTTAAAAGAATTTAGAACCAGACAATTGATCCAACATGTCGTCCAGGTGGGGAATTGGAAACCTGTACTTCATTGTAATCCTGTTAATTGTCCTGCTGTCAACACACATACGCCACGACCCATTTTTCTTCGGCACTAATAGAGCAGGAACTACACAAGGACTCATACTCTCATGAATGTAGCCCCTTTCCAATAATTCTACCACTTGTCGTTGCAACTCTTCAGCTTCCTTGGGACTGAGGCGATATGCTGATCGATTTGGTAGACTCGACCCCGAAATAAGGTCGATCTGATGTTGAATGTTCCTCATAGGTGGTAATTCTGGAGGAAGATCATCCGGCATCAAGTCAGAAAACTCCATCAATAGTTGTTGCACTTCTGCTGGTAATTCTGAATCCACATTCGCTACACTATTTTCACGAGTCATTAAAGTATAAACTATTTTTTCACGCCCAACCTCAACCAAGAACCTGGACATAGAAAGTAGATTGGTGTTATTAACTACCGGGGCAAGGATGTTTTCTTCCCTGCGAGGCGCCAAAATAATCTTCTTCCCTTTGATGCTAAGAGAATAAGTATTCTTCCGCCCATCATGGATAACGCTATGATCATATTGCCAAGGTCATCCCAACAAATATGACATACGTCCATTGATACCACATCACACCAAGTATTATCAAAATATTTTTTTCCAATTGAAAAAGACATTAAGCACCGTTTTTCTACTGTTACCTCACTGCCTTTCAGTCAAGACAATTTGTATGGTTTGAGATGACGATCCATCTTCAGTTGCAGTTTCTCGATAGCCTCCTCAAACACTACATTCTCACAATTGCCACTATCAATTATCAGCTTGCAGAATCTATCAACAACTGTGTAAGTTGTGTGGAAAACGTTGGTCATCAACCAATCATCCCTTGAATCGCCCTTGGGAGTCAGCAGGCTCTTTCGAACAACCAGGGTCTCCTGGCCATCTCCATATAGCACGTCCTCATCTTCACCATCATCATACACAGGCTCTCCAACTTCCTCGAACTTCTCTATCCTATCCTCCTCAATTAGAAAATTTTTAATCTTCTAACCAGCAGGCTTCCTGCAATTAGTCGCCCTATGCCCCTATTCACCACACCTGAAACACTTAATACTTGAGCTGGAATTGTCCTGTTGTGGCTGATAAGCAGGACGAGATTCTTGAAGGCGAACTGGCTGACTACCTTCACCTATGACCATTGGCCTCCTACTCTGCTATTTCTACACTGCAATCGCTCACTGATATGCCTCAGAAACGTCCACAATGAATGAAGGCTAAGAACATCCTGCAGGACCGGCCTTAATCCCTCCAAATACCGTGCTACCATCTGCTTCTCCGTCTCAGATAAATCATTCTGAGCCACTAGCTGATAGAATTCCTCAGTATAATCATTGACTGATCTTGCGCCTTACCTCAGTGAATGGAGTCTCTGAAACAAGATTTGAGTATAGCCGAAAGGGAGGAAGTGCCCTTTCATCATCTTCTTCATCTTCTCCCAGTCAGTAATTCTAGATTTCCCCTGTCGCTCCCATGAACGCTTCAATTGTTCCCACCATGCAGATGCTCTACCTTTGAGTTTGATGGCGACCAGTTTTACGTTGACACAATCTGGAACCTCCTTATATTCAAAAATCCACTCCACTTCATTCAGCCAATCAATAAATCCTTCAACCTGCAACGTACCAGAAAACTCGGGCAGATCCACTTTGAAACAAAGATCCACATGACGATCCTCCCGTCCACGATGCTCCCAAACTCAAGCACGATGGTGATAGAGGTTTTCGAAACTGGTATCGGAATCCTGACCCTCCACATCATGATTACCAAACTCCTGCTCAGCCAAACGTTGGGTTAACTCTGCAATTTGTCTCTGTAAATCTTCAATCGTCACATCCTGAATATTACGATCACAGTGTGGGACTTTCTCAATCAGAACCCGCCCTTGACGACCACGACCACGTCCACCAACCATTATAACTGATGGAATTTATCTCCCAAGAAGATGCTGACGCTCTGATACCAACTGACGTTGGGTAGGATAGTGATTATCCTATTAACTTGTTATAGCAGATGATTCGCAAGAAAGAAACAAAAGAAAAACACCCAAAAATCAGAGAAAATACTCTGAAATCAACTCAATATTATTAATAATGCAGAATGACCAAAATTAACCCACAAGCCAGGTTAAATAGCTGCAAAATATGAAATTATAGGAAAATTGCCAAAAATGGCAAAATCTCGAAACTACACCAGAATAAAATATTAAGTAAAAGAAGTAGGTTGCAAAAAATTTGGCTCAATTCGAGTTTTCTAACATATAGAAAAAGGAAAATGAAATATTACCATAAATAGCAAAAAATAACTAAAAATTGAATTTCAGAAAGAAAAACAGTGAATTTTGGGTTTGAAATTGACGTCCACCGAGCATAAGTGGGTGGCCACGACGTGCGCGCCGACGAGAGCTTTTCGGATTAGGGTCATAATAGCGATTCTGATAACCGTAGCCAAAGTTATGGCCAAATTACCAAAAACGTGTCAAATTTCCCCAATTAAGGAAATAATTGCGATTCACTTCCTATCTTTGCGCCGATCCGTCATCTCATGGTATCTCAGTGCCATCATCGTGTTATCTGACAAATCAGTATCATTCGACTCGGATCCTCCTGCATCAATGTGTGATTGAAAGAGGGTTAAATCACTATTGAAAATCGTATTTTGAAAAAAAAAAAAAAAAAAAAAAAAAAGGGCCAAAACCAATTTAAAAATAATTTTTTAAAAAAAAAAAAAAAAAAAAAAAAAAAAGGGCTAAGTTTGAAGTAAAAAAGGTGAAAGTTCTACAAGCTACTACAGTGAAAGCTTCAGAGAGTCACATTCCCTCCCTTGTGTATTTATGCACGAGAAACGGAAATAATGACAATGGCACGTTGATTAACTCTTTTGCATAGCTTAAGAGGATGTGTTTTAATAACCGAAGAACTTAGTAATTCAAATATTCTCCTCTTTACTCCTCTCTCTGTCAAATATTTGTTACAATATAGAAATATAGACACATAGTTGAATGGAATTTGAGGTTTGAGCACTAGACAAACCACGGGTAGACCCTTTCAAGAAAAACTGGGGCAACCTCCTAAAAGCTCGTGACTAACCCAACTCTAAATGTTAACCTAATCCTACTTGTGCCAATAAAGACTCCTCTATAATTTGTGTAGCATGTAATACTAGACTTGTCACGACTATGACAAAAAAAATAAATTGTTTTCTATGTTATTTCAGTGCTATAAAAATCATTTTACTAAACAAACCATAAATATGTTCATTTGTATTTACATTTTTTGGATCAATATTTAATTACTTGTACATATCACATATGCACAAGTATCTACTAGTAGTTATGTAATATTATTGATGTTACATATATAGCTGCACCAGAAAGGCGAAATTGGCATAGCTCTTGTGTCTCACTGGTTTGTGCCATACTCGAAAAGCCAAGCTGATAAGAAAGCAGCTCAACGAGCCCTTGATTTTATGTATGGATGGTAAGTACAATGTTAAAAATTGAAGCTAGATAAACGCTAACACTATGTTTGTTAAGGAGTTCAAAAGTACTCAATGGTATAAACAAAGAAAGAACTAAATTTTATTTGCGACACTATGTAGTCCTACTCAATATTCTATTGAAGATAAAATGACGAGTCCCTATTCTTTAATATTGTCCAACAATAACCCTGACCTCCTTCCCAGAGAACGTTCTCTTGCCATATAAATAATAGGTTCTATTGTGGACAGGAAATCAATTTCATGACAGCAATATTGTATTCTTGGTAAACTCTTAATAATATGAATATTCTTATGATGTTTTGAAGGTTTTTGGAGCCATTAACATATGGAGATTATCCAAAAAGCATGCGCGATCTTGTTGGAAAACGCTTACCAAAGTTCACACTCGAAGAAGCTATGATGTTGAAGGGCTCCTTTGATTTTTTGGGACTCAATTACTATACTGCAAATTTTGCTGCTGATCTTCGTTCTTCCAATACTGTTAACAAGAGCTTCTCAACAGATTCTCAAACTAAGCTTACAAGTAAGCTTATAGATTACCAAAAAATAAAAATGCTAATCACTATTATCAAGTTTATTTTCTCAAGATATTCATTATAATATGGAATATATTTCAATTTCGTACATAACATTTCACCTTGTACTTCCATTTCCTCCTATTTTGCAGCTAAGAGAAATGGAAAATTCATTGGTGATCCGGTATGCTACTTTAATAAATTTTATGAGAAAATTATGACAAGTACCCGTAATTTGATTGATATTTTTTAAAAATTTTGTACCAATTATCAGACTAACGTGACAAAAAACTGATCTCATTATGTTTTTATGATTTATTCTAACTAATAAACAGACAGATGTAAGTATCTTTTATGTGTATCCAAGAGGGCTTAGAGATGTTCTTGTCTACACCAAGCAAAAGTACAAAAATCCAACTATTTATATCACAGAATGTGGTGAGAGAAATATTTACTGACTCAATATTTGAATTTTTTTCAATGTCATTTTTCATAGCCTTTATGTGATTCTAAATATTTGGAATTACTGTTAGGAATGGGCGATGCTATTGATTCAGTAAAGCAAGGGACCAATGATCCAAAAAGGATAAATTTTTACCGCCGTCATCTTTTAGCCGTTAAGCAAGCTATTACGTAAGTATATTTTTACCTTTCATCTTTGAGTTTACCAATTAATTTGCATGCGTACGGGAAATTTATACACAATAAATTTGATATATTAGAATTGATAAAATTAAACAAGATAATTAATTACTTTTCACAAATTTATTTTCTATAATTGTCTTCAATTCAGCAAATAAAACATATTCAAAGAATTTAAATACACATTGGTGCAATGGCACATTCATTAATTGTTTAATGGAAATCTAATGATTATCTCTAACAAAGCAAAAGTTAAACCAAATCAGATATAAATTATTTAAACTGACCAAGTTGTTTCAACTTTTCTTTTCTTTAATGTAGCTGGTCTCAAATGAAAGAATGATAATTTATACTGTGATCCTTTTGTAGGGATAAGGTTGACGTGAAGGGCTTCTTCCCATGGTCATTTTTAGATAATTTTGAATGGGGTTCTGGATACACTCAAAAGTTTGGTTTAGTTTACGTGGATCGCTCAGATGGACTAAGAAGATATCTCAAGAATTCAGCCCTTTGGCTCAAGAAATTCCTTCAGTAGTTCAACTACGATTGTATGTTTCAAAAATATCTTTTAATTGATATTCTGAAAATAAAGACGTCATGAGCCCCATCATGTTGAATTGTGAAATGAAATAATCGTATTAAGTATAGATAAGTTATCTTCAAAATTTTCTGCAATTTTGATCCTAGAAATGATAAAATTTGAGAGGCACAAAGAGGTGCTTTAAGACTCGAAAAGTGAAATATGGAAGGATTGACAATACCGGAAGCATGAAGGTTTTTGGGCAGCTGCTATGGTAATTTTAGTTATGCTCTAAAAAAGTTTACATAAATGATAGGATTGTAGTTACTTGCCTCTTGTTCCTTATGTTAAATGTATACTTTCATGGAGGTAAGGAAATTGTTCAAGTGTGATCCCAATTCCCTTGGATATTGATAATTTGGTTGACGAGATGTTGAAGAAGTTTAAAGATGGATCAAGTACAAAAAAGCGTCGTATTTAACCTCGCTATGCACCCATCTCTCGCTCAAGTACTCAAAATAGAGAGCTCACCGTTCAATGCCCATAAGGCCACTGCTAGAGCACAGATGTTTATTCGGGCTATCCTGTTTTTCGATTTTGATGAATTCTTCCATTTAAAACACTATAACTAGTATTATATATATACTCCACGACTCGTTTGCTCTTCTAGTTATTAAAATCGAATCGGACAAATCAATCCGTATGGTGCTTCTGTTTGAGCTTATTAATTGGACAAGTAAACAAAGGAATCGATCAATAACTAGGTACCACTCAAAATGTATCCGAGCCAGATGGGTTTAAGAGGAATTGGACTCAATTCAATATTTGAATCGGATGGTTACCAAAGTACAATGTCAAATTTTTATCAATTTGCAAAGGGACTAATTCGAACCTTGGCTTCTTACCTGAAATTTCGGGTCCTTGATCATTTTGGAAATTGGTGAACCTTTATAATGTGATCCTATATGTGTGTGTGTATTATGGTTAACAAAGGGCAATTAATCTTCTATTTGTAGTGGCAGTGATTTGAACCCTAATGTTCAAGGTTAAATTTCACTTCCTTGACCATTTAGGAAACTGGTAAACCTTTATTATGTAGTGTGATGCAAACATATATATTTAGATTTAGAAAAATTTATTTATTTATTTTTTTGGTTTTAAAAATATATTTTAGTTAAATTATGATCTAACACCCATCGGCTCAACCACCAACTCACCGGTTGAACCACTAATTCAGTGACCCGATGATTTTCTCGGATAGACTACTTAGTCGAATCTAATAATTATGCTTCATATAGTTAGAAAATATCAAAATTTGATTGAGTATCAAATCATGTAATAATCCATATTTTGATATAGTGGAGTTTCCTTCTCACTTCGTGACTTTTTTCATCTTGAGTTTCCATGTAAAATCTTGTGTTCTTGACTTTGGGTTTATTTTTATATTGCCATATTATTTCATTATTCACTAACAAACTAGTATCAGAGCCATGTTGATCTTTTGTTATGGCAACAATGAAATATGACATACCATTATTGGATCGCAACATGAAGTTTTCACTATGGCAAGTAAAGATGCAAGCCGTGTTCAGACAAGTGGGTTTGGTCGATGCCTTGTTAAGGTTTGACGAAATACATTTTACTTGGATATAAGAAGAAAAATAGCAGAGGGATCGAAATTTCCTATCACAAATTTATCTCTATCTTTCGAATCAGATTCTTCAAGATGTTCTTAAGTAGAAAAGTATCGACTACATTGTGGTTGAAACAGGCATAGCTTCGTATGATAAAGAGTTATCTAATAAGTTACACTTGAAGCAGTGCTTGTATTCTCACCACATGACTAAAGATATGTCTATTGAGGATCACTTGACCATTTTAAAGAAATTGTAGCACGTCTTGAGATTATGGAGATTAAATATGAAAAGAAGGTTCTTGGATTGATTTAGTTTTGTTCACTGTTGCTTCCATATAAGAATTTTAGAGGCGCTATTCTCAAAGATCATGATACTCTCAGATTGATGAGGTCTATGATACTTTACTATCAAAGAATATAAAGTATCTTGTAGTTGGATAAGAGGGTTAGGGAACACGCTTGGTTATTTGTAGGATGACTCAAGATAGGAATCTTGGTGGTAATATGAGGGACAGATCAAAGTCTAAACATAGAGAAAAAGTATGTCACTTTGTAAAATGAATGAAAACATTTGAGCTGACTGCTACAAAATTGCATAATAGGAGTAAAACGGTAGTTACTAAAGATAATGGAAAGCAAGATGAAGAAATAGGAGAAGCTAGTGTTATAAAAGATGGTCAAAGTGAAGGAAAGTTTCTGATGATTTTTTAAGGTAATTTCAAACCTCGTGAGAATTGGATTCTTCATTCAGCTTATACACTCCATACGTGTTCCAATCAAGACTAGTTTACAATATATAAAGTGATTTCGAGAGGAATTGTGATTATAAAAAACAATGGGCCTTTAAAATAGCTAAAATTAGATTAGTCAGGATTAAGATGTTTGACGTGGCTATCAGGACAACCAGTGATATGATGCACATTCCAAATCTAAAGAGAAATCTCATAACCTTAGATACCCTTGATTTAAATGGATAAAGGTATACTAGGGAAGGTGGAATTCTGAAGGTCAACAGATGTACTTTTATTACGATGAAAGTTCCACTGTTACAGAGGATGCAGCTATCACCACTTTTTCTTTGTCAGATGAAGAAGTAACTAATTTTGGCATATACGTCTTTGGTATATGAGTGAGAATAGGATGGCTAAATTGAGTAGAAGATCACTTCTTAATGGGCAAAGTACTATAAAGTTGAGTTCTTTGTACATTGTGTTTTTGAAAAATAGAAGAGGGTCAAATTTATTAAAGGGGGTCACAATACAAAGAGAGTACTTGATGCCTTCTAAAAGAAGTGCATATTATTTGTTGACAATAGTTGATGATTTATCTAGAATAGTTCTTAAAATAGAAGAATGTTTTGTTTGCTACCTTCAAAGAGCATAAAACTATGATTGAGAAGAAGATTGAAAAGTAGTAAAACTTCTCTGCACAGATAATGGATTAGAGTTTGTTTGAATGAATTCAATAGTTTCTGCAAGTCAGAAGGTATTTTGAGGCACCTAAAAGTGTGTGGTACTCTACAATAGAATGGTGTGGCGAAACAGATGAATAGGACTTTGATAAAAAAGTTCAACATATGCTTTCAAATGTTGGGTTGCTTAAGAGATTTTGGGTTGAAGCTACGTCTACAACTTTTTCCTTATTAAATTTTCACCCTTAATTGCTATTGAGAAAAGACTCCAGAAGAGGTATGGTCAGGTACTCTTCCAAATTACTCAGATTTGAAAAGAGTTGAGTGCCCTGCGTATGCTAATGTAGATAATGGAAAATTATAGCCAAGGTCTAGAAAATGCATTTTTCTTGGTTATAAATCCAGTGTTAAGGGATATAAACTTTGGTGTCCAAAAATAAATAATGTAGTGATTAGTAGGGATGTTATATTTGATGAACATGCAATGGGTCAAAAGTTCCTCTAAAAGATTTTGGTAATACAACTAGTAAAAACAAAGTACCTAGGTGGAGTTTGGGATCTAAGCTAGAGTCTTCAATTGTCTAGTCTAAAAGTGAAAGAGAGTACCACTTTGACACTCGTAGCGGTATCACAGTATTCGATTACTAAAGATGAACCTAAAAGAGATATTAGACCTCTACATAAGTATGGAGAACTGACTTGGTAGCTTATGCATTAAATATAATTGAAAATATTGATTTCAGTGAAGAGCTTAAACATATACAGAAGCAGTGAGTTTCAATGATTTTGGCAGATGGATGATTGCTATACGGGAGGAGATTGGATCATATTACTAAGTTTATATGTCATATTAGTATGAAATTTACTTAGGTTAATTTTATCTTATTTTAGTTTTGGACTGGTTCCTAAGCAATTGAAAAAGAAAGAATGATCGATTGGCCAATGGATGGAAGTTTGGAGACTCATATGCATTTGAATAAAATTTGAAGGACCAAAATCAAAGAAATTTAACATGGAGGATCAAGATGGAAGAAAGAATGAAGAGAATGGCTAAAAGGAAAATTTTAGAAGTTTTTATAACTGGGCAGCCTTCCAGTTATAAACTAAATGATCTATTTCGTATGCCTGGGTAGTCGCCCCATTTACTATTGGGCACCCACCCTGGCCAATCCGACCTGGAAATTTTGTTTCATTCATAATTCAATCCCAATAAGGAAACTTCCATTTGGCCTATGATATACACGATTTTTAGAGATATTTAGGGACTCTTTGGAGGGATTATAAATACCAACTCTCAAAACATTATTAGGTTGGTGGAGAATCAATCGCAAAAAGAGGCAAAGAACACATCAAGATTTAATTCAAGATTTTTTGGGTGATGAACAACTTTTATATCTTTTGCTTTCTTGTTCACAACATGTTAGGATAGATTTCTTTGTATTAGGATAACGATGAACCTTGTAATTTGAGTTTTTAATCTTTAGTTTTTCATCTTTCACATCAAAAACACATTTTGGATATTGAATGATTTGTATGATTATCTTTCGAACTGAAATCATTGCAAGTGGATGGTTCATTAACAACTAATAAAAGTGGATGTGAGTATGAGTATCGTCCCAAAGAAATTGATTTAGTTCAATTTTTATTATCATGACTTTAACCGAAACAAGAATAATGAGAGTGTTTGTTAAGCTATATATGCAATTATTAATGAATTAACTAAATTAAATGCAAATTATGTTTAATGCAAATCGATGTGTTCTAGTGAATAATAAATGCATTAGGATCACGAATTCTCATGCAATAATCTTTTTTAACCTTAGTTTTTGAGTAATGTTAAACATATTCTCATATATGACCCGACTATATTTTTATGATAGATGTGAACTACAAGAATGCATGAATTTTATGAACACTTAAGGTATATCTATATTCCCTATTGGACCTCATGACGATTTATACCATATCAAGCCTATTTTCCTTCTTTTAAATGCATAAATAAGCAATCGCTATCACTCGAATACTGTACACAATAATTGTGAAGAAAAGAGACTCATGTAAATCTTTCAAAGTCTAAAAACAAATTTTTGATGCCAAATATGTAAAAC